TAGAGTGCATTTGGATGATCCAGAAGAGGATTGGGAGAATGTCATATGGTCAGATGAAACCAAAATATAACTTTTTGGTAAAAACTCAACTCGTCGTGTTTGGAGGACAAAGAATGCTGAGTTGCATCCAAAGAACACCATACCTACTGTGAAACATGGGGTTGGAAACATCATGCTTTGGGGCTGTTTTTCTGCAAAGGGACCAGGACCACTGATCTGTGTAAAGGAAAGAATGAATGGGACCATGTATCGTGAGATTTTGAGTGAAAACCTCCTTCCATCAGCAAGGGCATTGAAGATGAAACATTGCTGGGTCTTTCAGCATGACAATGATCCCAAACACACCGCCCGGGCAACGAAGGAGTGGCTTCGTAAGAAGCATTTCAAGGTCCTGGAGTGGCCTACCCAGTCTCCAGATCTCAACCCCATAGAAAATCTTTGGAGGGAATTGAAAGTCCGTGTTGCCCAGCGACAGCCCCAAAACATCACTGCTCTAGAGGAGATCTGCATGGAGGAATGGGCCAAAATACCAGCAACAGTGTGTGAAAACCTTGTGAAGACTTACAGAAAACGTTTGACCTGTGTCATTGCCAACAAAGGGTATATAACAAAGTATTGAGAAACTTTAGTTATTGACCAAATACTTATTTTCCACCATAATTTGCAAATAAATTAATTAAAAATCCTACAATGTGATTTTCTGGAGAAAAAAAATCTCATTTTGTCTGTCATAGTTGACGTGTACCTATGATGAAAATTACAGGCCTCTCTCATCTTTTTAAGTGGGAGAACTTGCACAATTGGTGGCTGACTAAATACTTTTTTCCCCCACTGTATGTGATGGGATGTATAAACATTATGGACAGTATGCGGATAGCATCTGTAGAATACGTAGGATAGAATATTATACAGTATGTACAGCGATAGTTGAATAGGGTGGCCTTGACCGGAATAAAGTATTATACATATGACATGAGTAAAACAGTATATAAACATTATTAAAGTGACCAGTGTTCCATTATTAAAGTAACCAATGTTCTATGTCTACGTACAGTACATAGGGCAGCAGCCTCTAAGGTGCAGTGTTGAGTAACCGGGTGGTAGCCGACTAGTGACAGTGACAGGGCAGGGTACTGGGTGGAGGCCGGCTAGTGATGGCTATTTAACAGTCTGATGGCCTTGAGATAGAAGCTGTTTTTCAGTCTTTCAGTCCCAGCTTTGATGCACCTGTACTGACCTCGCCTTCTGGATGATAACAGGGTGAAAAGGCCGTGGCTCGGGTGGATGAGGTCCTTGATGATGTTTTTTGTCTTCCTGTGACATCGGGTGCTGTAGATGTCCTGGAAGGCAGACAGACCACACCACACTCTGGAGAGCCCTGCAGCTGTGGACGTTGCAGTTGCCGTACCAGGCGGTGATACAGCCCGACAGGATGCTCCCAATGGTGCATATGTAAAGGTTTGTGAGGGTCTTAGGGGCCAAGCCAAATTTCTTCAGCCTCCTGAGGTTGAAGAGGCGCTGTCGCACCTTCTTCACCACACTGTCTGTGTGGGTGGACCATTTAATATTGTCATTGATGTGTACGCCAAGGAACTTGACACTTTTCACCTTCTCCACTGCAGCCCCGTCAATGTGGATGGGGGCGTGCTCCCTCTGCTGTCTCCTGAAGTCCACGTTCAGTTCCTTCATTTTGTTGACGTTGAGGGAGAGTTTATTTTCCTTGCACCACTCCGCCAGGGCCCTCACCTCCTCCCTGTAGGCTGTCTTGTTGTTGTTGGTAATCAGGCCTACCACTGTTGTGTTGTCTGCAAACTTGATGATTGAGTTGGAGGCGTGCCTGGCCACGCAGTCATGGGTGAACAGGGAGTACAGGAGGGGGCCAATGTTCCCTCCATTTTTGGGGGGCACGGAGCACATTTTTGGTCTTGTGAGCGAACATGTGAACGTTTTGAGAATTTTGTGCAACTTCCGGTGCGCGTTAACAGGGAACACTAAGGTTGTACCCTTACAGTTTTAGACAGTAGCCAATAGGCTATTGTGGCTATTTCAGCATAATGTAGGCCTACCAACAAAACCAATGGAGCAAATCCCATAACATTTTCACATGGAAATAGCTTTTGATTTCTATGATATAGCCTACAGTAGCCTATATGTGGGGTTCAATGCAGGCCTACATTGCATGAGACTTTTAAAAACGTTTTTACATTATGAAGGGCTTGACATGAATTAATTATTTTTTACTTGCTTTGTAACACCATGGGACAAATAGGTGACTGTAAATTACATTGTATTGTGTTGTATGATGCAAGAAACCACTTTACAAAATAAAAGTAATTATTATTACTATACAGAGAATTAGACAATGTAGGCTACCCCTCTGTCTATTGGCTTATTTGCATATTCAAGCCTGTCTAATATACAACACTGCCCCTTTAATTAAGACATACGCTTTTTACCTGACTGGCTTTTCAAAGACAGCTTGAAATGTAGCCTACACGTTTTGTGCTCTTGTAGGAAGCAGTAACTCCCCATTGCTGACCTATACTTATCTATAACTGGGCTAATAACTAGCTAACTAGCAAAGAATATCAACAAAATGTGCACACGCACGGCTCTGAATTCTGATCTGAACTGATCTGAAAAGAGCATTCACTCGCTGGTGATCGAAAGACCGCTCATGGGCTACCCCCACCAATAGAATTCTACTCCATTGCACTCTGACTCTGCCTACAACAAAATCACAGACTCAATCTTGCAAAGTTTGGTTTGTTGCATTGAAAAGGGGATGATATAATGTTGATTTGATCATAGGAAAAATGTTGATCTATATAGTGCAAACTAATGGGGCGAACTCAGTGAAGTTCAATGTCTTGCGTCTCTGCGCGGCCTGGCATTTCTTCTGCGCGGCAGTCCTCACGCACGCGCACAGCTTAGAGTGAACATTGGAGGGGGCTGAGCACGCACCCTTGTGGGGCCCCTGTGTTGAGGATCAGCGTAGTGGAACTTAATGATCAGCTTGGAGGGTACTATGGTGTTGAAGGCTGAGCTGTAGTCAATGAACAGCATTCTTACATAAGTATTTATCTTGTTCAGATGGGATAGGGCAGTGTGCAGTGCGATGGCGATTGCATCATCCGTGGATCTCTTAGGGCACATTGCAAATTGCAGTGGGTCTAGGGTGTCGGTTAAGGTGGAGGTGATATGATCCTTAACTAGCCTTTCAAAGCACTTCATGATGACAGAAGTGAGTGCTACGGGGCGATAGTCATTTAGTTCAGTTAGTTTGGTAGATTTCATCTTGTACTGTAGCTATAATAATCGTTTATCAGATGTTTGTAAGACCATCACTGTTCTAGCTGTTTGTGGTGGTCCTATTTCAGCAAGTGACTGAGTTGATTACCTGTGACTTCGTAAGATGTCTCTCTGTAGTGTGTCAGTTCCTCTCCCTTGACCAGCACGAGCTGAGGACTCTTCTCTTTGGCATCTGTCACGCACATCAGCTTTGTCACACCAAGGTCCCTGGCCACATAGTTAGACGTGACAATTCTGTACTTCTGCTGAATACCTACAAGGAGTCCAGAGAGATGTTACGCAACTGTAATGCTTGCATTGACATGTTGAAAAGCTGTACAGTAATACGCGTAGAGACACACATTTTACATCTAAAAGGAGACAAAATAGAAATAGTATTTAAATTCAATAACCTAAAGGCACACTCTGCAGTGCCTTTAGGGCATATAAACAGTCTAGGTCAAGGTGCAGGATGACTCTCTGTGCTGGTGGTACAGGTAACTTACTGCAGTATTTGCCCCCATAGACCCCAGAATGAGAAAAGAGCAGTTTCATAGTGAGAACAATTACAGAAAGAGCTATTACACTCAGAGAATAGCATTGCACACTGATACACGTGTAAGGCTCCTGAGAGCAAAGCAATTTGCTTCTGTCATTTGCTGTCACTTTGTGCTGTTATCTTAACAACAGGGCGTGTTGGGGGGGTTGAACAAAGTCAGAGCAAATGCTGTTCCAGTCAGTTTCATCCTCACCAATGTCCTCAACATCCATGTCCATTTCTAAACAGCAAGAAAATAAATTATGAAGTACTCAAAACTCTCAGTTGAATATTGTCACAGATTGTCCATTTTATTGACCAGATACTCTAGTGGCCGCTCTAAAAATGAAAATAAATGTATTTTAAAAAATAGAAGGCAGTCGCGAGGAGGAAAGATCAGGTGGGACCATTCTAGCCAATGAGAGAGAGGGCAGATCCGCGTGTGAACAACAGGCACGAACGGTTTCCAATAGTTACCAAAGCCACAAAGTCAAAATAGTCTCTATCATAAAAATTCATGAAAACAAAATGTGCTTTTGGATTTTAATTAAAGGTTAGGGTTAGGCATAAGGTTAGCAGTGTGGTTAAGCTTATGGTTAGGTTGAAAATCACATTTTAAGAAGATAAATTGTAGTCATAGGCAGGGTTTATGACTTTGTGGCTGTGGTAACCAGTGACGACCAGGCACAACCGATGTAAAGTGTTTTTTCTCAAAGTTGCCGGGAAGTCACGTGTCTTACTTATATCAGTACAGTCGTAAACTAATCATATATAATGAAACTTATATTTGATCAAATAAGCCATAAAAAATGTTGTTAACCAAATTTGACACTCTCATTGACCTCTATTCAAAAACTCCTCGCTTGGTGAGCGAAAAAAAACTAAAAGAAACGCCACCTGCTGGAGGAGACAGAGGTTGCACCCAGTTATCCCTCTTGCTTCTCATCTTCCTTTCTGGGTATATAGAATGTCCCGCCGTTACAGAAGCTATAAAACCCCAGGTAACACTGACATCATGACAGGTGCATGGTGTTGTGAGTGGGCCACTGATGGAAGGTGTGCTCGCGTTAATTAATTTGATCAAACATACCCGGAGTAGAGATAAATTATAAATAGCCGATATAACCTTCCAGTGGGTTCTTCACTGAAATAGACTGTCCATTTTTCAGACATGACCTCTGTGAGGCCTTACTGTCTGTACAACATGTCAAAGTCGAGGGAGGAATGTTGGACAACACCCTGTATGGATCACCGGTAACAGCAGTGGCAGGTCAGTCTAGTTTTATTATAATGTCTTTACATGCAAAAACCCCAAAGTATCTCTTCAGCTTGCCATCAAATCAAATGATTTTATCAAATGATTCACCATAGTTTTCAAAATAGGCCTAGGCCTATTAGTTAATTCCAATATGCCATTCTCAAATGGTAATGGACAGTAGCCCATTTATTTAATCAATTTGCAATCTGATTACTTGTTTTCAAGTCGGCCTATAACCTAATTGCAGTATTAATGCATCAAACTTGTCCTTCACATGTGTAGTGTGACATATGTGTAGCAATGGACTTTATTACATTGTTTAATCTTCTTAATGACAAATCTGTTTTCAATTTACTTGTTCTCCATAAACAGGTGTATGGAGACCCGTTCCACTTCCATCAATGGAGCCCCACAGCTCAATGAGGACAAAGACCCTTGCCTTTTGGAGTTGGAGAGAATGAACAAGGAAATTGAGACTGTGAAGAATGCAGAGGAGATGATCCCGTTATCAAACAGTGCAGATTAACAGTAAAAGCACAGGGTCCAAGAAAGTATTGATTCCTAAATCTGAAATGGCAGGTAAAGATCTGAATTGAAATAGCGCCAAATCTTCACACAGGCAGTCCACTACAGTCTATTCTCCTTCAATGAGGAAGTACGTGGTTGACAACTCCAAACCGAGGACTGATTTGGAATATGACCCCTTGTCCAACTTCTCAGCTTCTTTGCGATCTAGTCGTTGTTCTAAATACAAACCAGGTAATGAGCAGAATGGGATAAGTGGGCAAGGTGTGAATAGGACGATAGAGAAGTTTGTAAGGGGAACCAAACTATTCCGCCTTCTCAAGAGCTCACTGACTCACAGGCTAGTCGAAACAACCTAGTTGATGACTCTGATGAAGAAGGGGTCCTCATCATTGATATTCCACCTCTGGAGAGCGACAGGAAGAAGAGTCGAGCTCAGAAGCCCTGTAAGACCACCACAAACCTTCCACAGGAAGTCAAAGCGGAAGTCAACCCTATTCCTGTTGCTGTTCCTACTGTGGCTGATGCTCCACTTGCTATTCCACTTCCTGTGTCCACTCCTAGTCCTGAAGTAGTCAACGTCATATCCCCACCTGCAGTGTCTGAGATTGTGAAAGATGAGGTCATAAGTGTTGTCATATCTAGTGTTTCTGCTAGTCAGGAAATTGAAGGCAAACCCAGTGCTGAGAGTGTGTTCAATGACCTGTCAAAATGCTTGGAAAACCTGAGGAGTGAAAGTGAGAGAATTGTTTGTTACCAAGAGGCTGAGGCCACTGCGGAAAGCAACTGTGAGACAGATCTTGAGTGTCCCAAAATGGATGCATCATCTTTACAGACACGTCACCATAATGATCCAGTTGGTAATGCAGATGTCGATTTACTGATGGCAGAGCCTGGATTGCTTGAAAGTGAGCTTGCCTCCAACTGTGTTGAGAACAGTAACCCTCTTCAACCCAATGAATCTCATATGGACATCTTCAATACCTCATAAGGTTTCAGTCCCTCCCTCGGTCTCCTCCCCCCATATACTCCCCATTGAGACCCAGAGAAATAAACAGCCAGCAACACAGAGCTCGGCTCAGAGTTACTGGTCACCTGTACAAAGCTTATCATCAGTGCCATGTCTTCAGAAAATACCAGGCCAAATTCCAGGGCATGATTTTGCCTTGCCTAGTCCAGTTCCGGCAACAAACTTTGTAGAGCAAGCAGCCACTACCGCGGGTATCACAAAATGCCAGCTGTTATATGGGCCAACTATTGGAATAGAATTAGAATCTGCTCCTTTTGAACCACCTGCCATGGAAGAAGTGAATGAACAGGTTATTGATCCGAGTTTTGAGGAGCTTGAGTATTCTGAGTTATCTGATGGTGATACAATGGAGGAATGCTACCGTATCTTCATGGAGGAAGCCAACAAGGGTGAAGAGGGATCCACAGACCAGGCTGGTACACACACACATTCCCACATTGGGTAGGATAGTTGGACAGTTGGAGATGGGAACATGTTGACATTATGTGTTTCAGATAGGAGATGTGGACGTGGAGACACCAGGGTTAGCTGTGAAACCCAAACCGTTGCCTGGACCTAGGAAGAGGGTTGCCCATGTGTCCAGATATACTGAGGTACGCTATGATTGAAGGCTACAACTCAAGCATATGATTTACATTTAACTGTGATTCATGAAACTGTTTTTTTTGTAATTTACTGTCTTCCTGTCCGATAGCCACCGGTGGCCAAAAGCAAAGCCCAGGTGATTGTTCCTTTCCGAGGTGGAGGAACCCCCCAGTTGTCCAACCCCTCTGAGATCCAGCAGCTGCAGCACAGGGCCTCTGTGTTGTCTGCTGCTTTGAAAGGAGGCCAGGCGTTCGTCTAGAGGGACGCTACACTCTGCCCATCACTTCAGTTAGTTCTCCAGTCACACCAGTCCATACCGCAGTCACACCAGTTTCACCCATTACACCTGTTCCTGTACAACCTCAGCCTACTGCCTTTATCCCAGCTAAGGTGAGTACAGACTTAAAGATGTAGAGGTGGAATGAAATGGCTTCAGTTTTGTTCTCTGTATTGACTGATATTGAGTGGAATTATTTTAATTAGAGCTTGCATTCATATTGGTTTTCTAAAAAAACACCTGCATTGCAAGGTAGTTTGTAGTTTTCTGTTTCTTCTCACGTTAAAAATCATAACTTTTATATTGTTCTCCCAGCCAATTCCCACTAAACGTAAACGTAAACGTTGCGTTGCGTTGCGTTGCGTTGCGTTGCGCCTGAGGACTTCGCGTTGCGTTTAGCCTGAGGACTTCGCGTTGCGTTTAGCCTGAGGACTTCACGTTGCGTTGCGTTGTGTTGTGTTTAGCCTGAGGACTTTACGTTGCGTTTAGCCTGAGGACTTCACGTTGCGTTGCGTTGTGTTGTGTTTAGCCTGAGGACTTCACGTTGTGTTGTGTTTAGCCTAAGGACCTCACGTTACGTTGCGTTGTGTTGTGTTTAGCCTGAGGACTTCATGTTGTGTTGTGTTTAGCCTGAGGACTTCACGTTGCGTTGCGTTGCGTTGCGTTGCGCCTGAGGACTTCGCGTTGCGTTGCGCCTGAGGACTTCGCGTTGCGTTTAGCCTGAGGACTTCACGTTGCGTTTAGCCTGAGGACTTCGCGTTGCGTTTAGCCTGAGGACTTCGCGTTACGTTTAGCCTGAGGACTTCACGTTGCGTTGCGTTGTGTGTTGTGTTTAGCCTGAGGACTTTACGTTGCGTTTAGCCTGAGGACTTCACATTGCGTTGCGTTGTGTTGTGTTTAGCCTGAGGACTTCACGTTGTTTTGTGTTTAGCCTGAGGACTTCACGTTACGTTGCGTTGTGTTGTGTTTAGCCTGAGGACTTCATGTTGTGTTGTGTTTAGCCTGAGGACTTCACGTTGCGTTGCGTTGTGTTGTGTTTAGCCTGAGGACTTCACGTTACGTTGTGGTGTTCGTGTGTTGTGTTTAGCCTGAGGACTTCACGTTACGTTGTGGTGTTCGTGTGTTGTGTTTAGCCTGAGGACTTCACGTTACGTTGTGGTGTTCGTGTGTTGATCTTTGTAATAAACATGTATGCATTTCACGCTGCGCCTTGGTCTGACCCGTCCTTAAATGAACGTGACAGTTAGGGATAGAAGCAATACTGTTACATCGACAAGGTAAAGATAATGGATCTTTATTAGCTGAAGTGTTACTGTTGACTTGTCTGCTCTTTTACAGCTGGATGTAGAGGATGTCCAGAGGAAATATTCCACTCAATGAAAAAGTACTTTGGGGAAATGGTAAGTATCATGCTTCCCTCAACACACATTTTTATTAGCGGATAAGGTTTTCCCAAAGCTTCCAAGTTCTTATGCTATGCGTCATATCATCACCTTTTTACTGCTTTTCTGACACTTCCATGACTGTAATTTAGCTTTCCTATTCCTTTTCTACTAAAGGAGGTGCTGCATTTTATGAAAGTTTGAAGGAGCACATTCTGTCAGGAGATATTGACAGGGAACAACTATCCTCTTCAGCACCCAGAGAAACCAGGCAGCGCCATACTGTACTGTGAAGACCATAAGAAGGGAATTACTGATTGTGAGTACAGCATGAAGCACAGCATTGTTCAGTTGTATATTGCTGAGTGCTGACCAAATCTAAAAATGTACCTCTTGAAATGTCACAGATTTAGTCATAAGCATGCTTTTACATGCTTGGTATAGGCAATAGATCCAATAGGCTGTGACTAAATGTATGATTAATTTCCCTAGGACTGGCCTACTTTGGGTATTGTAGTCAACATGGGCCTGTTCTTCGTGCTCTGTTCATCATTCCCCATCATGCCAGAATAGGGCATACTTCAGCTTTATCATGTATTTGCATTCAGGGCTACTCTGTTTTACTCCTAAATTGGCAACTTTTGTCTTGTGTGTTTTGTTTCTGGGTAAAAAAAAAGCTTTAAAGAGGATTTTCTGTCAGTGTGGGGCCACTTACTACGCAAGAAGGAGTGTAACTACCACTTTGGGAAAGGAGTTGAGAAGAAGGGTAAGAGGACAGTATATGTTCTACATTTCTGAATTCAGAAATGTAATCCTGTTTGAGTAACTTGCTATTACTGTACAGTTCCAGGTGGAGTGGAAACACGCTATAGCTGCTGTGAGGGTGTGGTTGGATGCCCTGGATGCCAAGTTTTCAAGGTAATAAGAAGACGAACAGGGGATAACACCTATTTTCCATAAGACCCTTCAAAGATGTCATGAAACATTTTGTATCCCCCACATACGTCTCCCCCTCATCTGCATGTCCATGACACAGTTAGCCTGGATGGCTTTGTCAGTACCCTTCCTAGACCTGCCTCTGATAAGGGCTGCCCGGGGGTGATCTCAATCGACTGTGAAATGGTGAGATTCAACAGTCTGATTATGGAAATCATAGGCAACATTTTGCATGACATGCCAATTAAAGCTAGGTCAGTGTGTTTTGAACACACTGCCGTATTAGTGATCTGGTAAAGTTTTTTTGTTTACTGTATGACTAATATATGTAGTCTTTCTTCCTTCAGTGCTATACAACTCATGGTCTGGAGCTGGTTAGAGTGACTGTTGTCAACTCCAGTTTGCAGGTCATCTACAGTGGGGAAAAAAAGTATTTAGTCAGCCACCAATTGTGCAAGTTCTCCCACTTAAAAAGCTGAGAGAGGCCTGTAATTTTCATCATAGGTACACGTCAACTATGACAGACAAATTGAGGAAAAAAAATCCAGAAAATCACATTGTAGGATTTTTAATGAATTTATTTGCAAATTATGGTGGAAAATAAGTATTTGTTCACCTACAAACAAGCAAGATTTCTGGCTCTCACAGACCTGTAACTTCTTAAGAGGCTCCTCTGTCCTCCACTCGTTACCTGTATTAATGGCACCTGTTTGAACTTGTTATCAGTATAAAAGACACCTGTCCACAACCTCAAACAGTCACACTCAACTCCACTATGGCCAAGACCAAAGAGCTGTCAAAGGACACCAGAAACAAAATTGTAGACCTGCACCAGGCTGGGAAGACTGAATCTGCAATAGGTAAGCAGCTTGGTTTGAAGAAATCAACTGTGGGAGCAATTATTAGGAAATGGAAGACATACAAGACCACTGATAATCTCCCTCGATCTGGGGCACCACGCAAGATCTCACCCCGTGGGGTCAAAATGATCACAAGAACGGTGAGCAAAAATCCCAGAACCACATGGGGGGACCTAGTGAATGACCTGCAGAGAGCTGGGACCAAAGTAACAAAGCCTACCATCAGTAACACACTACGCCGCCAGGGACTCAAATCCTGCAGAGCCAGACGTGTCCCCCTGCTTAAGCCAGTACATGTCCAGGCCCGTCTGAAGTTTGCTAGAGTGCATTTGGATGATCCAGAAGAGGATTGGGAGAATGTCATATGGTCAGATGAAACCAAAATAGAACTTATTGGTAAAAACTCAACTCGTCGTGTTTGGAGGACAAAGAATGCTGAGTTGCATCCAAAGAACACCATACCTACTGTGAAGCATGGGGGTGGAAACATCATGCTTTGGGGCTGTTTTTCTGCAAAGGGACCAGGACGACTGATCCGTGTAAAGGAAAGAATGAATGGGGCCATGTATCGTGAGATTTTGAGTGAAAACCTCCTTCCATCAGCAAGGGCATTGAAGATTAAACGTGGCTGGGTCTTTCAGCATGACAATGATCCCAAACACACCGCCCGGGCAACGAAGGAGTGGCTTCGTAAGAAGCATTTCAAGGTCCTGGAGTGGCCTAGCCAGTCTCCAGATCTCAACCCCATAGAACATCTTTGGAGGGAGTTGAAAGTCTGTGTTGCCCAGCGACAGCCCCAAAACATCACTGCTCTAGAGGAGATCTGCATGGAGGAATGGGCCAAAATACCAGCAACAAGTGTGTGAACTTCAGCTTTAATCATGTGTTTGCATTCCGGCTACTCTTGTTTTACTCCTAAATTGGCAACTTTTTGTCTTGTGTGTTTTGTTTCTGGGTAAAAAAAAAGCTTTAAAGAGGATTTTACTGTCAGTGGTGGGGCCACCTTACTACGCAAGAAGGAGTTAACCTACCACTTGGGAAAGGAGTTGAGAAAGAGGGTTAAGAGGACAGTATAAGTTTCTACATTCTGAATTCCAGAAGTATGGTAATCCTGTTTGAGTAACTTGCTATTACTGTACAGTTCCAGGTGGAGTGGAAACACGTATAGCTGCTGTGAGGGTGTGGTTGGATGCCCTGGATGCCAAGTTTTCAAGGTAATAAGAAGACGAACAGGGGATAACACCTATTTTCCATAAGACCCTTCAAAGATGTCATGAAACATTTTGTATCCCCCACATACGTCTCCCCCTCATCTGCATGTCCATGACACAGTTAGCCTGGATGGCTTTGTCAGTACCCTTCCTAGACCTGCCTCTGATAAGGGCTGCCCGGGGGTGATCTCAATCGACTGTGAAATGGTGAGATTCTGTCTGATTATGGAAATCATAGGCAACATTTTGCATGACATGCCAATTAAAGCTAGGTCAGTGTGTTTTGAACACACTGCCGTATTAGTGATCTGGTAAAGTTTTTTTGTTTACTGTATGACTAATAGATGTAGTCTTTCTTCCTTCAGTGCTATACAACTCATGGTCTGGAGCTGGTTAGAGTGACTGTTGTCAACTCCAGTTTGCAGGTCATCTATGACACCTTTGGAAGCTGATAATGAAGTCATTGACTACAACACCAGGTAAGACCACATAACACTTCAGAATTAATATAGAATCTCGACAGACTGTTTTATTTAATCCAGCATTTTATTTAATCCAGCATTTTAAACAAAGATGGCATGGCAGTCACTAATGCTCTCTACTGCCAAGGTTTTCAGGCATCAGTGAAGATGATGTGAAAGGAACAAGCTCGTCCATACGAGATGTTCAGGAAACTCTTCTGAGCTTTGTCAGTGCAGAGACTATACTGATTGGCCACGGTTTAGAAACTGCCATCACTGCAATTAAGGCGAGTTGAACTGCATTAGTTATTAATAATAACTATTTATTAGTGAATGCACACCGATATGGAAAGTCTATAAATCGATATCAGTTGCCTGATACAGTATAAATTAATATTGAAATAAAAAACATTACAACTGCCAATGAGAATTGTCTTTGAGCATATTTTTTTGTCCAGGACTAGGCCTAATCTCTGTGCATCTGGGAAACTGGCCCATAAAGGTTCTCCCCCTGCCTGTCTCAGCTGCTCCACGGCACCGTGGTGGACACCGCCTGGGCCTGCCTCATAAAATTACCCTCCACAACCTGACGCCAGACTACCTGAGGAGGATCATCCAGGAGAGTGGTGGGTCAAACAAACAAGTCTCTGGCAATGGGAAGGATGCCCATCTACTGTGTGTCATTAAGTTTTAAACAGTCAAACTGATCATGATGTAAGCAGGGAAAGTTGTTTGCATGAATCTTTTAATGAAAAGTGTTTCACAATCCCAACTCTGTCCATTCACTGCTTACAGTTAAATGTGTTCTTAGAACACTAGTAAAAAAAAGGAACATGGCAGTTGAGACTGAATCTGAGAGACTATCATGTGTTGTGTAGTAGGCAACAGTCCTAAACGTGTATCCACTAATTTGAGAATCATTCCTAATCCAAGGTTTTCAGATTTTGTGTGTGTGTGCTAGGTTTACAGTAACTGTGTGTATGGTATTGTTCTGCTCCCTTCCAGTAGGTGGCCATGACTCTGCAGAAGATGCTGCTGGCTGTATAGAGCTCATGCTGTGGAAGGTCAAAGAAGATGGCAAAACTAAACAATGGTGATCTGAATAAAACTGGCATCGCCCACCTCCGTAATTCATGAAATCACAGAGATGTACAGTACCAGTCAAAAGTTTGGACACACCTACTCATTCAAGGGTTTTTCTTAATTTTTACTATTTTCTACATTGTAGAATAATAGTGAAGGCATCAAAACTATGAAAGAACAAATATGGAATCATGTAGTAACCAAAAAAAGTGTTAAACAAATGAAAAGAGATTCTTCAAAGTAGCCACCCTTTGCCTTGATGACAGCTTTGCGCACTCTTGGCACTTAGTATTACATTATTAGCTACAGTATACATATCTCCCTGGCATATTACATAATTTATGCAGCAGCACCTCACCTTGTTGTGCTGTGCTCACTTGAACAGGAAGGTGGCGCGGCGGTCCTTCATGGGCAAATTTTGTCATCAAACTTTGTCATCAATGTCTGGCATTCTCTGGATTTATGGTGCTTTCAAGACAACTGGGAACTCTGGAAAAAAAACAAGGTCGTCAGTGATCTTCAGGTAGTAGCTCTAGAAAGTGGCCAGAGTTACCGACTTACAATTCCGAGTTGAATTCAAAATGTATTTTCCCAGTCGGAGCTCGTTTTTTCCCAAATTCCCGGTTGTCTTGAACTCACTGAAGTCAGATTTCAAAGTTCCGAGTTAACAGTTGTTTTGAGCGTGGCAGAAATCATGCTGGATTGACAGCATGGTCAATGTTGAATGTTTATCATTTAGTCCCCTGTAGCTCAGTTGGTAGAGCATGGCGCTTGCAACGCCAGGGTTGTGGGTTCATTTCCCACGGGGGGCCAGTATGAAACTCACTAACTGTAAGTCACTCTGGATAAGAGCGTCTGCTAAATGACTAAAATGTAATGTAAGCTTGGAAAAGAGACCCTTAAACACAGACTTGGGACCACACACCCACTCCACTGAATAGCAGGCTAGTGATTGCTTTGCAATGCTTGCAGTTAACCACTGATTCCTTCCAAACCACTCATTGTTGAATTTGCGATTTCCAACTTGTTGTGTAATGTTTATGTCCAATGGGAAAGAGCACCGATACATTTTATCTATAATTTCTCTTCATTATTTATCTTCATATGAAAAGGATTAAAAAGGATTTTCCAGTAGATTGTCGACTTGATTCATGATGATGACTGCTAGCTAAGATTTTGTAAGTATGATGTTGACATGATCAGTCCAATCATAGCTACTGTAGATATAACGTGATTTGACGTAATTTGATCTGTGGCCAATGACTTTGAGCCTTCTTTGATGGGCACTTCTAATGTAACTCTATGGCAGCACCCAAGGGGCTTGAGTTTTCGAGCTCTACTATTAGATTTGACGGCGACGTAGTGTCCCTATGAGTGACAGCACACTGAGCCAATCACGACGCAACTAGAGAACATTACCTACCCCTACGCTCTGTATTTTCCACTGGCTGCCCCACCACATTAGCTACAAAGGTGTTGCTCAAATCAGCTGCTCCACCTGCCCTGAATGACGGGTCGCCACTGGCCCCATGCTATCTTATCCCCACGTCAGACTGGCCCTGGGATAGTGTGGTAATGTGGAATTAACATCGTTACACATACACGCCACCAGGGGGTGTAGCACTTGAGTACCTATTGGTATCATTGTAGAGTATTGGAATGCACCCCATAAAAACTTTGAGTGCAGTTGTCTGCCTGTTACACAAAGCTCTGGGTTAGTAATAAAGTAAACTGTTTATAAAGAGCTACTCCCTCACTCCTTCCAAGGTATAAAGAGTTCCGTGGGTTATTAGAAGTGGCGACGAGGTAAAAGGATGATGAAAATAATTACTGGCTGCATGAAAAGTTCACATTCCAGGGATTTATAAGGATTCACAAGCTGGAAAGCTAAAGCTAGCTGCTAACAGAGAAATGGCTGCCACGGTGCCACGATAGGATCGCTATCAAAGATTTTTATAACTAAACCAAGATAGACCACAGCCTGTCGTTTCAAATCGGAACAATTTAGTCATAGTGGGCAGAACAAGCAAGGAGGTAGGCAGAGCCAAGCAACAGCTAGCTAGTTCATATTGGCGCGTTCTAGCATACATTTGCATATTTCCGTTAGGGAACGCCTACTCTGTGGAGTGCATGTGTGCAATAACTGAATTTGCCTTTGCACTCCTAAACAATGCAATTGTTATAAACTTTGGCAAAGGGTGAAGTCTACAAAACTTAGTCCACTCTGTTCATAACAGATTGTAGTTTTGGGAGCAGAAAACTGTATTGAGATCAAATGTTTCATAGATGAGAAAATTAGCAGAATGTCGGCCAAAATCCATCTCGTTCCATCTTCTCCCACTGCCGGCCACTTGGCTGCCTCTTACTACCATATTTGGTAGTGAGTGGAAACGCCAATCAGATGCTTCACATTTATACATCTAGTGAAATATCTATCTGTGTAGGTATCACCTTTTGATCATCAGACGCAATCGTGGGAGGAATACTGTGAAGTACTTGGTCATTTTTTCGAGGCAAACGAAATTGTAGATAATGACAAGAAAATAGCCATTCCGTTGATTTCATATGGTAGCCAAACCTACAATCTTATGAAAAAAAATATTGGGTAAAATGTTCCTTTATAGTACACATGGTTCGAGCACCTACAATCACAAAACGATCCTGAAAAGCTATTCCAAGTGAATTGTCCCATTTGTCCCTGTGAGAGTGTGATTTGAAGGAGTCAGGCACAGGAGGGTAAATCACTGAATACAGAGTTTATTCCGTAGGACACAGTTACGCTAGATAGCGTCAACAAAATACAGGCACACAGGGAACAATATCCCCGGAAATACAAGGTACGGGTAGCTCAACCGAGCTACACTCAACTTACAAATAACAATCACCCACAAGGACAAGGGGGGCAGAGGGAACACTTATACATGTACTAATGAGGGGATATGAATGAGGTGTGTGCAATGACAAGACAAGACAAATGGAATGATGAGATATGGAGTGGCAGTGGCTAGTAAGCCAGTGACGACGAACGCCGATGCCTGCCCGAACAAGGAGGGGAGGCAGCTTCGGAGGAAGATGTGACAGTCCCATTTAGCAGTCCTGCTAAGTATAGTCCTGGTAAGCCTGGAGATAAACACTTTGAGGAGCTGGTGGAGTTGCTAAAAGCACATTTCAACCGGAAGCCGAGTGAGATTGTGCAATGGTTTAAGTTTAATTCAAGGAACAGAAATGCGGATGAGAGTGTTGTGGACTATGTAGCTGTCTTGCGTAAACTATCACAAGATTGCAATTATGGGGACAATCTGAAGGAAATGCTGAATGAGGCTAGTTTGCGGCATTAAATAATGACCAGATCCAACCAAAGTTATTATCCGAGACTGGACTTACTTTTGATTATAGCATTTGACCTTTCTCAAGCAATGGAGACTGCCAACAAGGATGTAAAATAAATCCAGGGAAAATGTGTGGACAGTGCTAATGTGAATTGGAAACAATGGACATACCAGGGAAGTGTGCACAAGCTAAGAATGCCTCAGGAAGAGAAACCAGCACAAGCTAGGTGAGATGTAAAGGTGATCACATGGGAAGTGAGTGCCATTTTCAGGATGAAAAGGGACATAAGTGTGGTAAACAAGGACATATAAAACGAGCATGTAGGGCTGAATCCCGGCAGAGAGTTCCAATCCAAAAGGGGGAGGAAAGCAAAAGCAAGAAAAAGGAGTAAAAAAAGTATGGGACACATTACATCAGAGGGGAAGCTGAACAAAACAAAGAGGAAGAAGAGGATATGTTTACAATGTACAACATGTCAAATAACGTTCCAAAAGTGGCTCCTATCACATTGAAATGGAAAGTCAATGAATCAGATGTGAAGTTTGAAGTGGATACAGGGTGCAGTGTAACCATAATGAACAGGTCAGAGTACTCAAAGTTGTGGGACAGTGCAAAAGTTCCAAGACTTGTTCTCTGCGTCTCAAAACATACACAGGTGAGAGACTAGACACATTAGGTAACTGTTTAGCACAGAGACAGTGACTCAGCTACCTGTAGTAGAATCAGGCACCAGACCAAACCTGCTAGGTTGGGGCAGGATAAAATAACTGAAGTTAGACTGGGGAACATTAAATCAGATTGATGAGGGCCAACGGTGGACATTGGGAGAGGTGTTGACAAAGCATGAGAATGTGTTCAAAGAGGAACTTGGAAGATTGAAAGGCCCTCCAGCTAAAATCTATGTAGACGAGGAGGACACACCAAAGTTTTACAAACCAAGACCTGTGCCATGAAGTCAATGGTAGGCAGAGATTGACCGTCTCTTGAGAGAGGACATCATGGAACCAGTCAAATTCTCAGAATGGGCAGCTCCCATAGTGCCTATTTTGAAACCTGACAATACTGTGAGAATCTGTGGGGATTACAAATTGACTGTTAAGAGAGTATCCAAATTAGAGCAGTATCCTATTCCAAAAACAGAGGATCCATTTGCAAATCTGGCTGGTGGACAGAAGTTCACGAAGTTAGATATGAGCCATGCATATCAACAGGATGAGGAATCTAAGAAGTATTGTACAGTAAACACACACAAGGGGTTGTTTATGTATAAATGTTTACCTGTTGGTGTCTCCAGCAGTCCTGCTATTTTTCAGAGGACCACCGAGGGCGTACTTCAAGGGATTCCACATGTCACCATTTACTTGGATGACGTCCTGGTGACGGGGAGGAGTGACCAGGAGCATCTGAGCACGCTGACTGAGGTACTACAGAGATTGGAGAGTGCGGGTTTACGTCTCAAGCGGAGTAAGTGTACCTTCATGGGGAATGAGGCACTGTTTCTAGGACACAGAGTGGATGCCACCGGTATCCATACACTCAATGACAAGGTACAAGCAATCCAGAACGCACCTGCTCCTACAAATGTGACTGAGTTTACCTGGGACTGCTAAACTATTATAACAGGTTTTTGCACCTCTTCACACACTACTGCGTAAAGAGACAAAGTGGCAGTGGGGGA